GTCCAGTTCCCTGGTTTTGCTGCTTTTGTGACTTCCTCTTTGCCTCGGCCTGCTGGATTAACTAGGGTTTCAATAAAACAGATTTTCACATTTTCAGTTGAACAGAGAATGTGTCTTGTTTACATGGTTTCTTATATGTAACATGGAAACTTCTGCAATGGCTAAACGAAGCAGGAGCTTATCTCATGGCCAGTTACTCATTTCTCACCTACATACTAGGTGGAAAGTTGTGTCTCTGTGTCACAGTCTAATGCAGAGATTTAAATAGTTAATTTTTTTGGGTGGCAGCTTCCAAAACCATAGAGCTGAATTATACCAATGGCAGCAGTCTGGAGCAAAGGGTCGAAGAGGGACAGGTTCTGCCCCCAACCTGAAATTCTGCTGTAGAGCATAGCGATGGCCTTTATGAGAAAACAAAGATTGTACTCTTCATCTTACACACCTGTCCACATGTTTCTGTCCCACTATATATAGTATTTTTTATATATAAATTCATCATTATCAGGAAATGTTTAGCTGGAAGGCAAAGCAGCTCAGCTTCTGCATACAAATCAAGAAGAAATATACTTTCACAGTTGCATTAATGAATAAAAGGATTTTTATTTAAAAAAGCTTTATGCACTTGTGCCCTCATAAGACCATATGTGATTTATACCTTCAGTGAAAAGGAAAAGGAAAGGGGTGATATTACTACTCGCAGCTTTAGGCTGACAGTTATAAACCACTCAGTAACTTTGAATGAAGGATAAGCACTTAATTCCTGTAGGTCTTTTCAGCTGTTAAGGAACCCAAGAGGGGCACTTATTCTTTGAGCCTGACGTTGCATCCTAGCACAGATTCTGTAAGATAGCAAAAGATGCCTTAAGATTTAATTATAAAGGCATGTCAATTCATTCCAACAACCTCTTCTACTCTGACACTGAGAGCCACTGTTTCCTGAGCTACACTGCCATGTCCATGAAAAAAGTAAAATACAGACACTAGTATCAGTAGCCAGCTACATGATTATCATAATAATGGCCAGCACAGCTTGTGATAAAAGTTTCTTGGAGCTGCAGTCCAAGAACACCTGGGTTACCCAAGGTTGGGAACCACTGGAATAAAGGATTGGAGGAAAGAATGCTGTGGAAAAGAGAGTTTCCTATAAAAGTAGGTTGATTTTATTTTAGAATTTGCGAATAAGTTAAGAGCAAACACTGTTGAACTAGGACTTCCTCTAGTATAATAGGATCCATCAATCCTATTATAACGGAGCAAGAGATCTGACGCTCATAGACTGTCATTGCATGTTCAAGAAAGGATAAATGACTGAATAGGAATATGTGCTCATTCCTCAACCTCAACGGACCCTACATATTATTTATACCATATACACAGAAAGAAAAAGATGAGCAACTTAACACCCCTGCCATCAGACTATTTGTCTTTGCCGGTACATAAACCCTGTTTTGTAGCTCCAACAATCCACCAGCTATCATTCCATTAGACACTAATTAATGTTTGCTTATCTGTAGGACTAGTGATGAGAGAGAACAAACAATATAGATGCCAATTCATCATTGGAGCATGTGAGAGATGCTTTCAGGTCTCTTCAAAGAGATATGCTAAATGCTGCTGCATTCTTCAAAGAATCGAGCTCATGGAGAATGAAGAAAGGAGAATATAAAATACCTCTGAGTGCAGCAAAGGGCTTGGATGATGGCAGCCCCTGCTCTACCTAAGCTGGAAGATCCTCGCCCTGCTCTATGGATTGCAGAAGACTGCAGAAGGGTTGTGGGCCTGACGCAAGACACAGAGGAAGAGGGTCTTGACCACAAAATGGGTGGGATTCTTGCTGAATGGGATTGTAGTTTGGGAAAGTGCACCTCTGACTCATAGGAATGCAGCAGTGGAATCTTCATTTATCAGAGGTCCTTGAAGAAACATACACATGCTCTCTCTCTCTCTCTCTCTTTCTCTCTCTCTCTCTCTCTCTCTCACACACACACACACACACACACACACACACACACACACACACACACACACACAAAGAGGCAGGACCAGACCAAGTAGGTGAAAATAAGATAATCTTCCTCTGGGGTTGGCAGAAGGATCTCCACTTCTGTGTCCCTTCATCCCAAATATATGCTTCTGATCCAGATGGCAGGTTCAGAAAAGCCAGTCTCACTTGTCCCTCAATAGGACATGAGAATCCAGGAGTACCCACTTTCTGCAGGAGAATAAAAGGGCTGGCGAGCTAGAGAAGGCAAGGGGGGGGGGGACAGAGATCCCATCTTCTTGCTTATAACTTAGGGAAGTGCTACTAGGGGAAGTGTTCCTTCTCTCCATCTGTGATAACTGGTTAGCAGCAGTATCACATCCCTTAGTGGCATCTCACCCTGGCAGCTGGAAGGCCTTTCGTTGGAATGGAAGGATGCTTGCAAAGGGGAGGGGGACCCCAAAAGCCCGCCCAACCCCCAGGGAACCTCCTCCCCCATTGAGAGCGAGGAAAGGCCGGTGGGAGTGGGAATTGGTTAGCCTCATCCTCTGGAAATGCCTGGGAACCCCGCATCGGAGCCAACAGATCGCTCCCCCGCGGGAGGCTAGACTCTTCAGCACTGGACAGCGCCTTCCGGCCCGGGCGACAGCCCAGCCCGAGTCCAGCCGCCAATCCACAGGTGCGTGCGTGTGTGTGTGAGTGGGGAAGCATCTCCCCGCTCTTACGTAGCCCCTTCGCCTCTCCCCTTTCCCGCTCCTACCCACTGCCTGAGACTGCAGCCACCCCGAAATCTGTCTCTTCCTCCCTCCAAGCCTCAGTCTCTCCCCTCCTCCTCCTTTTTCCATCAGCGCCGGCTCCTCCCTCTGTGGAAGAGTTGCAATTTGCAAATTAGCAGCGAGATTACAGGGTTTGGCAAAGCCTGACGGGTGAGGAGATGCCTCCTTCCCCCATCGCGGTTGCGAGGCGCCTCTTCTTTTCACCCTGATGGTGGTGGTTGTTTAGTCGTTCAGTCGTGTCCCACTCTTCATGGACCCATGGACCAGAGTGCGCCAAGCCCCCCTGTCTCCCACATAGTTGCAATTTGCAAATTAGCAGCGAGATTACAGGGTTTGGCAAAGCCTGACGGGTGAGGAGATGCCTCCTTCCCCCATCGCGGTTGCGAGGCGCCTCTTCTTTTCACCCTGATGGTGGTGGTTGTTTAGTCGTTCAGTCGTGTCCCACTCTTCATGGACCCATGGACCAGAGTGCGCCAAGCCCCCCTGTCTCCCACATCCT